TGTGTGTGTGTGTGTGTGTGTGTGTGTGTGTGTGTGTGTGTGTGTGTTGTGCACGCATGTGTGTGTGTGTGCTTACATGTGTTTGTGTATAGAGGTGGCTGTGCATATGAGTATACACGCATGTGAAGCCCAGTGGCTGACCTTGGGTGTCTTCCTCAACTGCTTAACACTTTTTTTTAACTGAGGCAAGGTCTCTCAAAGAACTTGAGCTCACTAATTTAATTGGTGTATCTATCGGGCTGTCCCTGAGCATCTTCTGCCTCTACCTTCCCAGCACTGAAATTACATGACTTGCCACACCCACCCACACCACACCTACCTCACACCCATCCAGCTTCTGTGTAAATGTAGAAGATCCAAACTCCAGGCCTCATGCTTATCACAAGCCCTTTATCCACTGAGCCATCCTTCCAACCCCAAGGGTTAGACTTTCTGAATCTTGTAAAGGGACAGAAGTCAGATAAAAGGGAAAGAATCAGGACCTATAAAGCTAGTGGGACTCTGACAGGAGAGCTTAAATATGGATAGTCACAGTTTGCGTGTTTTGTAAGTGGAGGTGCTTGACAGGTTCTTATGGAGACATGATATTTCATAGCTGTTTATAATATCTGTAGCGCAGCAGTTTTGAACGACATTTGTTTATCATCATTTGGGAGAGCAGATCATACCACACAATCTAACAGTATCCGTGCCACAACACTTCACCTCAGAAGACTCAGTGTAGACTATGATTTTATGATATTATCTTAATAGATATTTTGGGTTTAAATCAGTGTGAAGTTTAAATTAAAACTTAACCAAAAGACTGGAGAGATAGTTCAGCTCTTGGAAGCACCTGATACTTTTTCAGAGGATCTGACTTTGGATCCCAGCACCAACGTAGGGCAGCTCACAACCTCCTGAAACTCCAGCTCCAGGGGAGATCTGGCATTTCTGGCCTTCACGTGCATTCACATGCATGTACCTGCATACAGGCATACACTCATAAACATAGTAAACATTAACGTAAATATTTTTAATATATTTTTATTTATTACAATTTATTCACTTTGTATCCCAGCTGCAGCCCCACCCTCATCCCCTCCCAATCTCACCCTCTCTCCCTCCCTTATTTCTTCCCATGCCCCTTGCGCAGTCCACTGATAGGGGAGGTCCTCCTCCCCTTCCATCTGACCCTAGCCTATCAGGTCTCACCAGGACTGTCTTTCATAATTAGCAGAAAGCAGAATTTCATGAGCTTCTGACTCCCTCTTCACTTACCCGCATCCGCCCTCCATTATAAGCACCCTGCTGTGCTGTGCTGAGTTTGTTAGATTTGATTGACTGCATTAAGACACTGCCGCTCACTCTCAGTGTTGGACATTCTATGCATTTGTACAGCTTTATATTGGTGTTGTTGAAAATATAAATATTGGCCTAATACTGTTATTATGAACTGGCCTGTAATTATCTCAGCAGTATTCTCTAACCTGCTATTGTAATCAATAAAAGGCACAGACGCCTGATAGATTTTAGAATAGCCGTATGTCACCTGGAACATTGCAGGTACTACCTCTTAAGCTACCTTGACCTCCCAAGCCCCTATCCCACACCATCTGCTCTCATAATCTCTATCTGGACAACTTCTCGTCCATAATCTCAAAATACCTGCTAATGTTCTTCTGGGCTGGTTTCTTCTGTCCATGCCCATCCGGCCATGCGTTCCTTTCCACGCTAACCCATTGAGGCCCTCTGCTTCCTTTCTCTTCTGATACCGGTCTCCTTCCCATGATCCTCCTGTCCTCAAATGCCACGAACTTTGGGTTCACCTACCCTATTCTGGCTTCACTAGGCCTGGGGGTAGAGAGACAGATAGGGCTTCAAAACTCCAAACAAGGAGGATAGCTGGTGTGCTACAATCCTCGTGCTCGTGAGAAAGGAGAAGGCACGAAGCTCAGAACGACTTTTTCTCGTAAGAAAGGGTTTTTCTCTCTCTTCCTCTGGAATTGAGGAAGGGTGAGAAGGGAAGGTACAAAGTGTTGACAAGTGCAGAGACTCTGAGCTGTCATCCTCTGTGACGACATGGTGAGCCAGGTAATGTTGGGACAGGTTTGGCGGTGACTGCAGAGCGGAGAGCTGCTGACGTTGCTAGGCCAGGAAAGCAGCAGCAAGAACAGGCAAATGAGGCCACTCGCAGAAGATGATCAGCTTTGCGTTATTTTGCTTTGTTTTGTTTTTCTTTATCTTCATTCCAGTCTTTAAACAAAATTCCAGACCTAAAAATTCCTAGAAATGGGGGTGGAGGTAGAGGACACATGGGAAAATACTTCTTAATGCAGGCCAGAATTTGACTAACAGAGTTCTGAACCATAAGCAAATATCTATGTTTAGAAGTATTGGAGAAACAAACCCTTTCAGAAGGCTAATTTTGCTAACTGTGTAGCTGAGGAGACAAGACCAAATACTTGAGGTCAGATCAAGACTTAAACATGCTCATCATCAAGATCGGTAAATCATTACACGTTTGGAATGAGCGAACTCGGGTCTTCTAACAACATGTACTGAAAGTCTGGTTTCATTTAACAGATATCAATGAATGTCAGGAATCCAGCCCCTGCCACCAGCGGTGTTTCAATGTCATAGGAAGTTTCCACTGTGGGTGCGAAGCTGGCTATCAACTCAAAGGCAGGAAATGCGTCGGTAAGATGACATCAGATGATGTCAGGGTAATTCGTGTGTGTGTGTGTGTGTGTGTGTGTGTGTGTGTGTGTGTGTGTGTG